AGGCGTGGGCCGGGCCACCGTCCAGGCTGGCCTGGCGCCCCCCACGGCGGGGCCGGGAGGAGGGCCGTACCCCCGGGGGGGGCCCCCCCGGTGCCTCCGCGGCCGCAAACACCTGCGGGAGGGGGGACGGGGACACAAGGGGAGGGGGTCAGCCAGAGCTGCGGTGTCCCCCCTCACCCACCCCCTGTACTCCCCCGTCCCGCGCTCACCTCCCCGGCGAGGGGCTCCCCCGGCAGCTCGGGGGGCTCGGGGGAGTCCAGCAGGCTGATGCTCCGCATGACGGCGCAGAGGGAGATACGGGGGCGCCGGGAGGTTCCCAGCAACCCCGGGCTGCTCGTCTCCTGCAGGGGTGGTGGGGAGGAGACCGGCGAGAGGCCACCCTCGCCCCCCGGGGGGGCTTCTGGGCCCTCCTCGGGCTGGGCCGCCCGCTCCGCCGCCGCCTTGGGTTCCCACAGGCTGCTGTGCCGGCTGCCGTACACCTGCCGTCAGCGGCTGCCCCCCCCCCCCCCCCGGGGCCCCCCCCCCCCCCCCCGGCGGGGCGGGGCTCCCACAGGCTCCGCCTCCAGCGCGGCAAAGGGCGGCTGCACCGAAGGCCACCCTGCCCGTCGGGGCGTGGCCATAAGAAGCCCCACCCACCCTGCCCGAGAGGGGGCGTGGCCGTGACAGGCCCCACCCACACCGCCCAAGAGGTCACGGTCAAAGCTGAACCCTGTCCTTGGCTGGTCATGACAGGCCCCTCCCTCTGCTGTCCGAAGGGGCGTGGTCACAGCAGGCTCCACCCCACCCCACCCACAGGGTGTGTCCCACCCCACCCACCTGGCGTGCAGGATGCCCTGGTAGAAGTCGAGCTGGCGCATGAAGCCGGGGTTGGGCAGGACGCCGGGGCGGCAGTGCCGGACGTGCCGCAGCGCCCGCTCCAGTGTCCACCCGAACTCCTTCATGGCGTAGGCCAGCACCGTGGCCGCCGAGCGGCTCAGCCCCATGCGGCAGTGCACCAGCGCCCGGCCCCCGTCGGCCCTGCGGCACCCACCCCTGCTGCCACCCAGCTCTTGGTGCTCCCCCTCCGTCCCCAGCCACCCCCGTCTCCCTGGGGACCCCGCGCCCCAGGGCTCCCCGCGTCCCCAGGGCTCCCCGCGTCCTCAAGGATCCCGTGTCCCCAAGGCTCACCATGTCCCCAGGGAGCCCATGCGCCAGGGCTTCCCATCTCCCAGTGTTCCCAGGGCTCCCAGTGCCCCCCAGCACCTCAGTCATCAAGACGCCTCCCCAGGTACCCCCACCCATGTCGTCGTCCCCCCCAGCCTGCCCCTGGCTCCAGCCCCTGTCCCCCAAGCCCTGCGCCCCCTCCCCGATGGCCCCCGTGCCCCCGCCAGTTCCCCTGTGCCCTGGGGCTGCCCTGGCCCCACTGACCGGACGCGGGAGAGGAAGAGGAAGGTGTCGTTCCAGTGGGGCAGGAGCTGGGCCGTCTCCTCATCGTACACCCGCACGTTCATGTAGGTGAACAGCGCTGGGAAGAAGTTGTCGATCTCCCGCGCCACGTTCAGGATGTGGGTGACCCTGCAGTGCCACGGGCAGGGGGCACAGCCGGCACGCAGGGTTGGGGCTCTGCCTGTGCTCTATGGGGTGGCCCACAGTGCCCCGTGCCCACCCCACTGCTGCACCCACCCTGCCACGTGTCCCACGATGACACCACGCTCACCCCACCGGACCACCTCATGATAACCTCATACCTGCACCACCATGCCACTCCACGATGACCCTGTGCCCACCCCACCATGCCACCCCCGGTGACCCCGTGCCACTCCACGCTCACCGGTTCTGCTGCAGCTCCTCCAGGTTGGCCGCGTTCCACTCGGAGCCCTGAGTGGTGGCAGCGGTGAGGGGTGTGGACGGCCCTGCCCTCCCCGCCCGCCCTGCCCGCCCCGCTGCCCACCAGGTAGAGGTGCGGGAAGACGCGGGAGGGCCGGTCCATCTGCGCCAGCACCAGCAGCATCTCGTTGTCGATGAAGTCCTTGTGCTGGGCCAGGCTGTGCCCCGTGCGCCGCTCCAGCTCCTCCCGCACCTGGGCACCACCATGGGGTGAGGGATGGCCCCTGCCTGCCCCCGCCAGAAGCCCCCACCCGGTGGCACCCACCTCCTTGGAGGTGACGCTCTCCAGGTCGGCGGTGGCCATCACGTCCCGCAGCAGCGCCCGCACCGCCTGCTCCGACAGCTCCGGTGCCGCCGGCCTGGCGCCGGCATCA